GCCCTCTGGCATCCCAAGCCAGTTCTTAACCATCGTGCCACTCGGCTGGCCCCCTAAAAACTTTTAATTATGGAATATTTCAAACATACACCCAAGTAGAGAGAATAGTATAATGAATTCTCAGAGTATCATCACTCTGCTTCAATGATTACCTTAGCCAATTGTGTTCTACTGTCCTATATTTTTGTTGTTGTTTTGCTGGAGTTAAAAAAAAAATCTTAGCCATGTAATTAATTTGAGATATAAATATTATACTATGTATCTCGATGTAACAGACTTTTAAAAATACTCATCCATGGGTGGCCGGTTAGTTCAGTTAGTTACAGCATGGTGCTGATAACACCAAGGTTGCCAGTTCGATCCCAGCATGAGCCACTGTGAGCTGCTCCCTCCTTATAAGAGTCAACTATGCCATTGTAGCATGAAAGCAATGTGTAATCGATGACCATGGATGTTCCCCAATAAAATTTAAAACAAAATACTCATCCATATATAATTCATATGGTTGCATATAGAAGTATGTATAGATATGCATATATATATATAACAGTATACCCATATATTTTCTTTGTCAGCTGAGAAGGACTTAAGAGCAAGACACCCCAGTGGCAATGAGCATACCTAGCACCCAAAACTTAATTTCTAATACCATTTTCCAATAAAAGTATTCAAGAGTATTGGAGAGAAGGGCTGACCAAGTGGCTCAGTTGGTTAAGAGCTCGCTTAAGAGCTTGAGCTCTGAGCAACAGCAGTTTGATGCCTGGCCTGAGCTGAGCTGCCACTGAGCTGCCAACAGGTGGCAGGATGGCTCAGCTAAAAAAAAAAAAAAAAAAAAGAGTATTGGAGAGAGAACTAATTATAGGACTGGAGCAGAAAATATACAAGATAAGCTTGGAGCACCTTATAGTGCCAAAAAGTAAGGAAGTGCTCAAAAATAAAAACCCAAACACACACACACACACACACACACACACACACACACACACACACAATGATGAGGCATATCAAAGGGTATATCAAAATATAAATATATATTTGAATAAATAAATAGGGAGCATAGATAAATCTCCCATGCAGAAGAATTACAAATAACTTATGCAGATACTCACTCTCAAGGAGAGGGAGCACAACTTTACACTCAAGTGTGGGCTGTGAAAAGTGACTTATTTCCAAAGAGGACAGAATAGAAATAGGGTTAAAAAAGTATAATAACTTTACAGTGGGAAGATCTGACAAACATTTTCTCAGCCAGGTGATTAAAGTTAACACCAACAGTGATAATTCATGTTGATAGTAGCTACCCTTGATATGATGTGATAAAAATGGCATTTTAGTTCTGTGATCTTCCTCCCCAAAACCTATAACCCCATTCTAATCATGAGAAAAACATCAGATAAACCCCAATTGAGGAACATTCTACAAAATACCCTACTGGTACTACTCTAAACTGTCCAAGTTATCAAAAACCAAAGTCTACAAAACTGTCACAGCCAGGAGGAGTCTCAGGAGACATGACAACTAAATATAATGTGGTATCCTTGATGGAACAGAAAAAGAACATTAGGGAAAAGTTGAGTATATCTGAATAAAGTATGGACTTCAGTTAGTAATAATGTGTCAATATTGGTTCACTAATTCTAAAAAAATAAGTACAATATTAATGTTAGAATAAATGGAAACTATTTGCAATTTTTCAGTAAATCTAAAACTATTCTAAAATAAAGTTTATTTTTAAAAAACACATCCAGGGCCAGCCGAGTGGCTCAGTTGGTTAAGAGCTCGCTCAAGAGTTTGAGCTCTGAGCAATAGCGGTTCGATGCTCGGCCTGAGCTGAGCTGCCGCTAAGCTGCCAATAGGTAGCAGGATGGCTCAGCTAAATTAATTAATTAATTAATTAATTAATTAATAAAAAAACACATCCATACCCAATAAATTTTTTTTTAATCCTTAATATCATATTGCACCCCGTTTGTGTTAGTTTTCCCCAACAGTCTCAAAAAATGTCTTTTTAGAGTAGGTTTATTTGAATCAGGGTACAAACAAAGACCACATATTTAATTAATAATCTCTTATAGACTTTTACTTATTTATTTATTTTTAAAAGTTTTACTGGGGAATTGGGGGAGGGGAACAGACAAGTTGCTGTCCTTTTGTTCTTCAGTCTAGTTGTGGGGACCTCGCTTCACTGTCCCATGTTGGTATTATCATTGCACTCTTCCTGGGTGAGGCAGTCGCTCACTGGCGATTGCACGGCCGCTCACAGCGGCTTACGGCCACTCACGAAAGCTCTTGCCAGCTGCCCGCCAGCCCCACTGCAGCCTACACCGTAGCCAGCGACTCACAGCAGCCCAGCTCCAGGTCGAGCTGTTGTTCACCATCTTAGCTGTAGAGGGCGCAGTGTCACTGGCCCTCATGGGATCCGGGATCTGAACTGGGGCCCTGCTGCTCAGAGCTGGCGTCCCAAGCCAACTCTTAACCAACGCCCTACTCGACCAGCCCTCTTATAGACTTTTAAATCTATAAGAGGTCCTCCTTCTGTCTTGAACATGAAATTTATAGAAGAAAGTGGGTCATTTATAGAATTTCCCATAGTCTGGATTTGGTTAATTGTATCCTTGTGCTATCATTTAACACATTCTTCTACCACACATATTTCCTGAAGATTGGTTGTTAGATCTAGATGCTTGGCAAGATTCTGTTTCAATTTTTCGGCATGAAGCCTTCTGAGGAAGCGTTTTGTACTTCCAATTCTATCACATCAGGAGGCACATTATGTCTAGTGCTCCCACTTTCAGTGATGTTAAGATTCATCAGTAGGTTCATAAGTTGGCAACCTGATCCATCCATATAAAGTCCTCATCAACCTTTCACTTAATAGTTTTATCAGTCATTGATGATCATTGCCTGGAGTGATTATATCATTAGTAGTTGCAAACAATGATTTTCTTTTTTTTTTTTAAGATGTTTTTTTATTGGGTAATTGGGGGATGGGAACAGTGCTGGGGAATTGGGAGAAGGGGAACAGACAAGTTGCTGTCCTTTTGTTCTTCAGTCTAGTTGTGGAGGAC